ACTGATTTTTCCCTAAATTTAATGAACACTATAAACTCAGATTCAGGAAGCTCAACAATCTCTGCACACTGGACATGTATTTTAAAAACTATAAGGCATATGGTTTAACACCAGTGATAAAGAAAATTTTTAAACAGTAGGAAAAAAGTAAGAAATAACAGACAAAGCAAATATGGCACCATGTTTTTCTGCAGAAATTGAGGCGACAGTGGAGTGGTATCTTTAAATTACTGAAAGAAAATTGTAGTCAACTCAACCTTGAACATTTTATCCAGCAAAAAATGTCTTTCAAAATTAAAGACAAAGACTTTTTCAGCTACACAAAAGCTGAGGGAATTCATCTTTAGGAAGCCTGAAATTAAAGTAATGTTTAAACTAAACATTAAACTACATTAAATAAATGTTAAGGGAAATTCTTTAAATTGAAGAATAATGATAATAGATGGAATCTGGGATCTACACAAAGGATTGAAAAATTCGAGAAAAGTTAACTATGGGGATAAACATGAAGAAATTTTTTATTATTTAAATCTTTTTAGAAAAATAATAGGTCTTTTAAAGGAAATATAGTACAGTTGTGATACATGTATGAAGAATTAGAAGTACACTACTTTAAGGTTCCTGTGTCAAAATCTTATATCATTTGAATGTAGATTGTGGTAAATTAAAGAAGCTTATTATAAACTCTGACATAGGAAATGCCATTTCATCAATAATGGCATTTTAGTGTCATTCACTAAAATGGCACAACATACACATAACTATTTAACATTGAAGATAAAATAGAAACATAAAATACTGATATAATCTAGAAAGTCATACAAAGGAAAAAACAAACAGGCAGATGAATGGAAAACATATATTTATAGTGTTGTTTTGAACCTGACCATAACATTAATTGCATTACATGAAAATGGTCTAATGCTTTTTAAAAACATCTCTTGGTTCACTTGTGTAATTGTTTCTCTGAAGTATGTACCTAGGAACAGACATAGGGAATGAAATACTAGTGACAATGTTGTCCAAAAAATGTTGCGCCTGTTACCTTTGACCAGCAGCAAAGGGAAGCATCTGATACTCATATTTTAGTCAATATTTAACATAAATTGATTTCTAGGAAAATAATTCAGTAAGTAGAGTTAATAAGGTATTTCATTGTAGTCATAATTTGCATTTCCATGTCTCCAAATAAGAGTGAACATCTTTTTATATAAAAACAAAAAAGAAAATAGAAAAAAGTCCAAACCCTCCAATTAAATGGCAGCAATTTTCAGATTGGATTTAAAAAAGCAAAACAAATTATATTCTGCCTATAAAAATTTCATTTTAAATATAAAGATGTAGTTAGGTTAAAATAAGATATACAAAGTTATACTGTATTAACATTAATCAGACAGCTGGAATGACAATATTAATGTTTAATAAAGCAGAGAAAATACTATCAATGGTAAAGAAGGTCATTTCATAATAAAGGTAGCAACTCATCAAGAAAACAAAGCTTCTAAATACTTAGGTATCTAATAATGGAGCAGGGCATCTAATAATAGATGCAACCTATGAAGCTATCTGCAGCCACTGCAGCATGAGTTAGATCCCCAGCCAGGGAGCTGCCCACATGGCACAGCAGACATCTGACTCACCTGCTGCTCACCTCAGCAGTATATTTCAGTTAGTCTTCCTGTTCTGCTCCCTGCTCTGTCTCTGGTGAATCCTCTCACCACCCCCACCCCCCCACCTCTGCCCTGTATCCCAGTTCTTATATGCATAAATAAATAAATCTTTAAAAAATAATAATAATAGAGCATCAAAAAAGAATGGCAAGGAAAGACAGAAAATGTAGAATTATAGTCAGAGATTTCAACATTCCCCTCCCAATAATTGATAGAATAAATAGGCAAAACCAATGAGGATATAGACTTGAAACATTTACCAACCAAATTGAAATGTATAGAATACCCTTCCCAACAACAACAGAATACACATTTTTTTCAGGTTTACATCATCACCTACTGAGATAAATCATGTTCTGAATAATAAAGGAAGGCTCAATAAATTTAAAAGGATTCAAGTCATATGCTCCCTGACCACAAAGGCATTAAATTGGAAATCAGTAACAGAAAGAGATAGTGAAAACCTCCAAACATTTGGAAATTAAATAACAAGCTTCTAATTAACCCACGAATCAAAGAAGAAATCAAGAGAAATTGAAAGTATTTGAAATGGATCAATATGAAAACACAAAAATTGCAGGCCAAAACAAAACAAAGCAATTATTTTTAAAGAGGAGCATTTATTAAACTAAATGCCTAATTTAGACAAGCAGAAAAGTCTCATGTTAATGATCCCTGCTTCTACCTTAAAGCTAAAAAACAACAGAACAGAACACAAATAAGCAGAAGAAAGGGTTTACTATAGATCAGTGTTCAAATTATTTTAAAAGAAAATATAAAAACAATAGAAGAATTATGTGAACTGTAACATTTTCTTTGAGAAAGCCAATAAAGTTGATAAATTACAACTGGATATATTGGGGGGGGAGGGTAAAGGAGAGGAAGCAAATCCCCAAAGAGGTGAAATAACTAGAGATTCCACAAATATTGAAAGGATAACATGGAATATTTGTAACACGTTTATGCCAGTGAATTTAACAACTTAGAGGAGAAGGACAAATTCCTCAAAAGAAACAAACTATCAAATTCACTCAACAGGAAGTAGATGACTTTAAAGAATTTGAATCTGTATCAAAAAACCTCCCCACATATCAGTCATTAGATATATTTGATGCATAAAACTCAGAATATTTTTTCATTTTTTATTTTATACATATTTTACATCATTCTTCCTTTTTATACAATGCATACTTTCTCCTCTCAGGTGTAGTCCTTGTGTAACTCCCACCACCAATTCACCTGTGCACCATCACCATAGTCCCATGTGCTCTTCTCTCCCCCATTTTGAGCCTTCTTCCTCCCCCTTCCCTGCAGTGTCTCTGATTTATAGTTGCCTGTTAATTTTGTTTTTTAAGTTACATTTTTTTTCTGATCCCTTATTTGGTTCCCCTACATTCCTCCTGTAAGTGAAACCTTGTAATATTTTTCCTTTTTTTTCTGGCTTATTTCACTTGAACATAATCCCTTTCAGCTCCATCCATGTTGCTGCGAATGGCATAAGTTTATCTTTTTTGATTGCTGAAAACTCAAAATATTATTGAATGGTATTCAAATGATATAAACCAGAGGCAAAAATTCAAATATTTCCAGGAAATAGGTAAATAATACAAGTGAATGATGTGAAATAGGTACATGAAAAAATAAGAAAAAGTTCCTGCCAAAAATATAATACTGAACTCTATAGAAATGTAACATAGTGTACACATGATAGGAAAGAATTTATTTTAATTTGTAAATTAAAAATGAAAGTCAATGTCATTATTAATTGATTATTAATTGTATTTCTGTGGTTCTGTGGCTCTTCTCTAGAATCAGAAACTTGACTGTTTTTCTTCTTCCTTAGATATTACTATTTTGGTGTATTTTCTGTGGCATTGCAGAAAACTTCACTTTACCTTGGCATTGACATTGTCATGTGAGTCATAAAGAAAATAATTATTGAATGAAATATTTCTTTCCAAATATAGATAGAATTCTTGCATAGCAACATACTCTTCCTTTCTTCTCTAATTGGGTGGTTCCTTCTCTTTGTTCATTTCTCAGAATTCAAATTTCTTCTCCAGAGATGCCGTCTCTCTGTTGTGCTCTCATTCTTGTTTTCTTAATAGCATGCTTCACTACTGTTAGCTACACTTTTCTTTGTCAAGCTAATAGCCTTTTTTAATAGTCTGTAAATAAGTTCTGTGGGCTCAGGATCTCTGCTTCACTCATCACTGTGTACAAGTGTCTAACTTAGTGCCCAACTACAGGAGCCCAACAAAGAGCTAAAGACAGAGTGAATAAAATGCACTAAATTCTGGTCAGTAGACAGGATTCAGGGTTGTCATGTATAATTTTCTTGGTCAGTGAAGATTTGAAATCCAATTAAACTGCTATTTTAAATGTGGAAAGATAAAGTTTTATTAGTAATTTTTCAGAGGACAATTTAGGAGCATTGTCAGAATTTAAACTGGACATATAATTTGACCAAACTCAGAAATATATTCCATAGAGACTCACGATATGCACACCTTTTAGAAAGACAATTTGTTTCCTAGGAATTTAGCTTAAAGCAGGTATCAGACAAGTACCCAAATATGTGTGAAGAAGTTTTCTCATTATTTATGAAAACAAAAAACAGGTTGGAAATGAACTAAATACATTTTGAAATTGTTTAAATAGATTCTGATATAGTCATCAATTAGATACTATGTAGGCATTAATATTATGATACATAACTATTCAGGTATAATTAAATATAACAGTGGAAATAAATCCACAATGTATTGTTAAGTGAAAGGAATTTAAATAATGTATAAAACATTATTTAGTTTTTTTTAAAAAAAATTTAGTTTTTTTTTAAAAAAAATAACGAATTATATACATGGATATGCTCAGAAAAATATAGAAAATTGCTCATGGTAAATATCTCTGGTAGAATTTCTCAATTTGTTTTGCTACTTGTTTATTGTTACAAGTAGCATGTATCAGCTCTATAATAATTTTTAAAACTAACAAAGATATTTCCACTTGGGGAAAAATACTTTAAGAAAATCCACTTCTATTAGGAACGTATTTTAAAGTTTCCCATGCCTTTCAATCAAATTTCCTCCAATTATCACATTGGTGATAAAAGAGAAATGTTTTCTTTAAAAAAAAAAAAATCATTGACTTTTTTTCCCAACATATTCCAGAACACTATGTTTACAAAATTGTTTTTATTTTCCCGAGTATTGTTGGTAGGATTGTGCCTGTGTTATCAAGCTCAATTTGCAAATTTGATTTTATTTTACATTTTATAGCATAGGTGTTTTTCAAGTGAATTCTAGTTAATTTAAGTAACTCCTATTTACGGAATTACTTTTGGTTGCTTGGTGGTAAACTCTAGATAACAGAGGCAAGGGCTATCTCGCTAACAAACGATCAGACCATTACCCCCTCAAATCATACTGTGTCATGTGGGTATCGTGTTTCCTCGAACACCATGTCATCAAGAGCCCAATCATAGCCCAGCTAATTTGTAGGTTCTTTCTTGGCACGAATCAGTCCAAACAGTCTGATGGGGTCATCGTGAATGTTTTCCTCCTCTGTCTGGCCTTCTGGTGGGAAATTGTCTACCAGAGTGGTCTGGGAAATACTGGCATTCTTTGAAGGTAATTGCTTGTTTTCATCCTTGTCTGACAAAAAAGCATTCTGTTTCCTGGGCTTCCTGCGCTTCCCCTCATTGTTGTGGCCCAGTGGGGCATAGAACATCTCTCTTTCACTGGTTACCTAAAAAGAAAGGCGTGTTAATTTCTCATTGTTAGCCCAATCTTCAACTTTGATGGCTTCTGGGAGGCCTATGAATAACAAGTAGCTCCTTTTCTGGGCTTCTGCTACCTCTTTTACCAAATTTGCCAGCTAGGATGAGAATAAAAAACAATAGTGGGCTCAAGCCTTTTATGTGGAAATGAATTCTTACATGAAATTTTTGTGTATTTTCATTTCCTGTACTTAATATATGCATGAACATTTATTTTTTATTTTTTTTTATAGAGGCATGTTTTATTTATTTATTTTATTTGTTTGTTTGTTTTGTTTATACATGCACTGGGTACAGTCAGAAGCGCTGGAGGGTGAGAGAATTCACCAGAGCCAGAGCGGGGAGCAGAACAAGCAGAAGGACCGAAGTACACTGCTGAGGGGAGCAGTGGGCGGCAGGAGAGGTCTGCGCGCCATGTGGGACCCTCTTCCAGTGGCCGGGGAGCAGCCGGGGATCGAACCAGCACCGCAGAGGCCGTGGGCAGCTTCACAACCCAGCGCTCAACCACTGCGCCACCGGGGAGGCCCTGCATGAACATTTCAGATGAATTTTTGTCTGCCTCTCCCACTAAGGTTTCAAGAACCTCAGAGTGCTCTTGCCCTATGTTGCTCTTAGCAGCTAACATTACTTTAGCTTGCTAAGCTGGGAACAAGGATGATAGGAAAGGATTTAGAAAATTAAGGTCTACTCTACTTATGTTTGATAATTGGCACCCACCAAAGCCCCTGATCTATCTACATTTTTGAGAATCAGAACTATAAGAAATATAAAGGCAGTGTTCATTTATGTGATTAGCACTAGCTAATCACAAGCTAACTTTCCTTACTGTTTCCTTCATGACTGCCTGTCCCCAGATTTTCTTGATTTTCACATGAATGTAGAGGGGGTGTGGTGCTCCTCTCTGACTTAGAACCAGGTCAAAACTGAACTAAGAAGGACAGAGATCTAAGGAAATCTGGGGAAACAAGATTCAAAGGCAGGACCTTGAAGTTGATCTTGGAAAGCCTGGGACCGAATCCCAGCTCTGCAATACACAGCTTTATGGGAGCTCGAACTGTTTTTTAAAACTATTTTGAGCCTCGATTTTCTTGTTTATGAAATGTGAGTACCTCTCTCATTGTGCTACTAGTAAATAAATAGATATATAAGGAAGCTATAGCCACTGTGTAAAAGTAAGGTTGTATTATGATTACGGAATTTTAGTTGTAGGCTAAAGCAACATTTCTGTATTGGTTACCTATGGAGTAGGCCAAAATTAAATCAATTTTTGGGGGTAAGGGAGAAACATTGGATTAACAAAAACCTGCTGCATCCACAGGCATCTCACTTTTGGCACTAATTTTCACACTAACAGTTTAATGTTAAATTGTCTACCAGGCAGAGGAGAAGACACTATTTACAACCTCTCTGGTATCTTAGTCTGACCTTTTATCCCTGTAATAATCTTTGCTGGAAAACTGCAATAGCTACTTAACTGGTATCTTGCTCTTGTCTCTTCCTCCAGCCAGTTAGCTTATATATTGTTTCCAAATTATACTTTTAAGGCACAGTGTTTCATATTTTACCATCCTGTCTCCAAAATTTTAGGCTGTCCACTAATGTCTGAATTTTATACTCTGGCAGTCCTTTACCTTTTTAATTTTGATCCCCAGGACTTCCCTACATAAACTCTATGTTCCAGGTAAAGTAGACAATGCATTAATACCTGCACATACCCTGTGCTTTTTTACCTGCTTTGCCTCTGCCCAGACAGATGGAAAAGGAAATGTCAGTGAAGTACAAAAATAACTAGAAGACATTCAGTAATATGAAGGGGTGGCTATCTTCCTGTTTGTCCAGCATTTAGTACTATCCTTTTTCTTTCATAAATTCTCCAGTTCCTTTTGGGAAAGTACTCTCTTCCTGCAGATTCTGGCAATAACAGTGTTTTCCCCAAAGCCCAGTACAACACTAAACATGTGATGTAGGCTGGAACCAATCATACCACCCATCTCCCTGGCGGCAGAAGTTAGCCTCAGAATGTGCATGTGATTTCAGAAAAGCCAATTGTATGGCATCTTTGGAAGTGATGTACTAAAAAGATTTCTTTTCCAGAAGTCCTGAGGAAGAACATCTGAATCTGCCAGTGACTTGTCCATCCTCAATGAAAGAATATGTTGATAACAAGTAGGGAGGAGACTAATGGAGAGAATCCTCCTATTCAGTCGTCTCAAAACCCAAACATAAACTTACACCTCCCAGTTAAACAAATAAATAATTTCCCTTTAATGCCAATGTAATTTGGGTTGGGTTTCTGCACTTTAAACTAAAAGCACTCCAAATAATGTATGTCTGGTCAACAATAAGTCAACTTTATCAAGTGTTGGAGAATTCAAAGAAAATTAGTCTTAAGAAAGATCATAGGTGATACATGTATAGTCATTCATGACTTCCAGAGTGTTGTTTCAGCTGAACAGATAAGTTGAAAATATATAAGCAGGTATAAAAGAATGTGTATCTGTGGAAAGAAATGGAAACAGTAGAGGAAAGTAAGAATCAGTTCAGGAATTAGAGAGAAAACAGATTGAAGCAAAGTTGTGTTGTTTTGTTTGCTTTTGTTTTTTTTTTAAATGTTGGGGAGATTTGTGTATATTTATAGGTAAATTATAATAATTCATTTAAAGAAAAATAGAAAGTGGACATAAGTAGGAGTATTGGCTTTGAAAAGGAAAGAGGATGATTCTGATACAGGAGGGAAAGAGTGGTTGATTCGAGATTATGAATGAAAATAAAAGTAGTAAGGTCAAACTTGTGTCCCTTAAATATTCAAATTATGGAAACCCTTGTGGACTCATTTTATTATTAGGTTTCCTGATGAACTCTTCCTAGTTAGTAGCAGACTGGCTTATATTACACATTCTGAACTGTACACATCATTCTTAAAGAGCAAGGAGTTTCTTTTTCTAACACTTTATCATGTTTTATGCACAATATTGTATATTCCCTTTGCTCTTATAATTGACAGCATGACAAAATAAGCATTGTGGTAGTAAACTAGCTAGTAGTTTTGATAATGATCATTCTAATAAAACAGAATTGTGAAAACAGATTACTTATAATATATTCTAAATTTATAAAAATATCTTTAAGTATATAATTATGAAATTAAAAATTTTCAAGACATCTTAAAGCTTTGCACAATTTCTACTTGTGTAAAAACGATGCTGCTCAGCTAAAGCTGCACAATTCATATCTATTAAATAGTGACTTCTAGAGTCTTCGCTCTTTTACAACTAACTTACTGTCAGTCTCTATATTTCAGATGGTGTGGTTATATTTTAATCTTTGAGAGGTTTTATTTTTATTATGGCTTTAGCAAATATAATAACATGCAGATTTTCATACCTTTTATATAAAAATATATTTTACAATTAATTAAACATCAGATGATGGATTTGCCCATCAAAGGACAATTTTAATTGTCTTAAATTCACCACATTTTTATTTCTTTATAGAAATGTCAATTTTTATTCAGTTACTCATAGGAAGAAAAACAAAAATCCTACATTAATGGGAAGTTTCCAAGATATGACCTGTCTTCGGGAGGAGAATGTTTTCTGATACACAGAACTAAGTTTGGATTCTATTTCCTCACTTAGTATCTGAGTCTCTAGGGCAAGTTTTTCATCTCTGTAAACCTCTGTCAAGTGGGAATAATAATGCCCTCTCCCTCATAAGAATCTAAGAAGATGATGCACATAAAGCACATAATACAACGCCTGACACATGACTACCTTGAAGGAAATGCTGGGCCTATTACTATTTCTAGCAAGTAGAAAGAAAGCACATAACTGAAGGGACAAGATCCTGAAGGGGAAGAAAAGAACTATTTTAACTGAAATTTATAATGCATCAGCAGCGTGTGGGCTGAGATTGTGAATGGAAGTGCTATCTGAGGAGCTTGAACTTATTGTCATAGGAAAAAGAGAAACTACCTATTTCTTTTTGGTTTTTGATGTTTCAGCTTAGGCTTTTGTCCTGTCTATGTCCTGTCTATCCCACATAAGTCGTGTGTCACTTCTTGACATAAGATATAACCATAGGACTTTGTATTTAAATTCATACACATAATCTTTGTAAAAGAGAGGTGTGATTTTTTTTTTGGTCTCTCCAGCTAGTTTACTTACAACTATAGTTCTCTCTCTTTTTTTCCCCCTGACTTCTTTTTTCTACGTACCCCAACCACCTGGCCCTTATAAATTCTTGACATCTAGCTCTTGTGGGCATTAGACATACATCAGCTTTTATATTTAGCTTTGTCATACATATAATTTTTCACTCTGAGAGAAAAAGCTTTATTAGTTATTTAGGCAATGAAGCCACACTTCCCTTCAAATTTATTGCCTTTGTGATTGTGTCCAATTTTGACTATTTAAACATGGTTCTGAGTACTGTTTACTCGTCTTTGAATTTCCCTTTAGAGCTCAGACCCCAGAACTTGACATTGCAAAATTTCTAACAGGCTGCCTCAGGTGTGCATCACAATGTATTGCTTTTATGCTTTTGAAACATAAGTTGTGCTATGACCTAGGATGAACTTGACCCTGATATAGAGTATAAACTCACCTGTGCAGGTCGGGGGGCCTCTTGCAGTTCACTCACAGGTCTCTCTGGTTGAGCTTTCATTTGTTCATAGCAGTTTTCATCCATTGATTCTTCGAAGTGAAAAGATCATGATTTACTTTGGAAGAATGAAAAAAGCTGGCACAAATGAAATACATGACCCAACCAGCATTTACCTATAAATATGAAGCCCCCTCAAATCACATGACTAGTCTTTTCATGACAATGCAAAGAGGTAAGGAAGTACAGATATTTCTCTAAGCATGAAAAATGTGTTAGAAATACCCAGTGGTTTGTCAGATAGCAGGTCCCTAAGTCCTACCCTAGATCTGCAAAATCAGAACCTGTGGAGATAGCACTTGTGCTCACTTAGCTGTAGCTATTATTGACATGATGGGCTCCAAGCCAGGAGAACACATAAGAAATGCAGTCCTCAAATATCACAGGTGGACACCAAGGCAAAACAGGAGAGCAAATTACTTTTAATAGTATGTTCCTAAAAAGTGGTTTTTGACTCCTCAGAGAGCAGACGTTGGTGGACACTTTACAGTTAAAGGAAAGATAAAAATAAGTAAATTATTGAAATAAAATTCTCAAATTCCTAACTCTAGGAGCTATACTTTTTTGATATATAGTCCATTACTGGCAATCTTGTGGTCCAGACTCAGAGCAATCAGTGTTGACCTGCACGTTTCCTATCATGAATTAAGTGAAGTTCTTGCAGGACAACGATGAGGTTAAATGCCATTGTTACCTCATGGCTTCTCTCGTCAGAGCTCTGGGGTCAGATCATGGTTGTCTATATTGAGAAATTTAGGGGTGTTTAGTCTTTAGTGATTAGGATATTTCAAGTGATAAGGAATGCAGGGAAGTAAAGAGTACTTGTTACGAAAGTACAGAAATGTACAACCACTCTGAACTTAGTTCATCTCTTCCTTCCCTTGCCATCAATCTAGACTCTCTACTTAAAAAATCAAGTTATCTTTCTTTTACATACATGGCACAAAGTACTATTTCCCTGGACCATTTACTAGAAATAGCTTTATTTCATAGAATTCTATGTGTATCAGAATTCATGGTAAGAGAGTCTTTCTGTATTCTCATTAGTACTAGAGTGAAATGAAGAGACTAGAGAAAAATAGGATGCTGCTTTACAGTGAATGTTACCATACATTGCCAATATGCTGCTTTGGAAATAGATACTAAATAATAGGCAAATATAGTTGAATTTATGGTTGCCATTGGGATATGTTAATGTGATTATGAAAAAAGAAACCACCTCAAATTCTATACTGAATTAAGTGGAGATATTAATTTATACATAAACTTAATTTCTGGAAAAATAAAACTTACCTGGAATCACAGTTTCTAAGTTACCATAAATTGGTGTATCTTCAATATAAGACTCATCTTCCCTATAAGAAAAAAAATTTACCTTATTAAAGTCCACTTTACACATAGTTCATTACTAGTTTATCAACTAAATACAATGCTGCATATTCTTGTTCAGTCTTGAGCAAACAAGTACATATGTTTACATGTAAATGAGTGAATGTAAGCATGCATGCATGTGAGTGTATGAATTTGAAAAACTGCTTCTTGAACCTTCATTAAGGGAATAACAGTAGCAAATGTTTAGTTCTTATTCTTTGTCAGTTGCTACTTTAAGTGCACTTATATGTTCATTTATGTAATTTTCACAACTGTCTGACCAGATAGGCACTGTAACACCTCCACTTTATAGATAAGGAATCTGAAGAATAGAGAAATGATGAGGCTAAGTAATGATAAGGCTAGTAAGATCAAGTTGGTCCTAGACCTAAGTTATCAATGCTGTTGACTATATATTGCAATTCCTCTTTATTTGCCCAGTATATCACTAAATTTTCTCCTAAAACTATGTTTGCTATATAAAGATAAATAGGTAGTGATGCTTAAAAAATAAAATGTCAAAGAAACTGAGCTTGGTAGATGCAGCAAAATGATTGATCACATATTATGGCCAGACACAGGCTAAGTGTTTTATATGCATTGTGAAAAAGACTCAGGGAAATTCTGCAAAAATATTATTATTCCCCACTTTACAGGTGAGAAATCTGAGATCCAGAGAGATTAACATTTTCCCTAACCTTACATGTAATATCAGTAATATGAGAGCTTTTCTTTATGCCAGTGCTCATCAACCCTAAGACAAACCAATGATATGCATTATTTTATCCCCATTGTACATATAAAGAATTTGTAATTCCCAGAGGTAAATTGTCCAAAGATACACAGATATTAACTGGCAGTGATAGGGTTGCAATGCAGGGCTGATGCTAAAGTCCTAAATACTACTTGTTCTTAATGTCTGATTAATTTTCCTTGCAGCTTCCTTCATCTGACTAATCCTATTGGGACTACAGAAGACATCCTACCACTGTCATCAGACAGTCACCATGGCCCTAGGGATCAACTTTCACAATGGCAGGCTGGGAATGAAGGAACATATCAGGTAGTGAGAATGGCATTTCATAAAATAGTACCAACTGCTTTAACTTTGATATTACCTATCACTGAGAGCTGGAGGGAATTGCATCAAAAGAAAAAAGAGCCCTTATCTCAAGGCATAACACCTTTATTACTCCCCAGGCTTCTAAAAGAAGACACAGTATATGTAAATAGTCAGTAGGTGCCCTTAAAAAAATAACAGGTCAAATGATACCTGTATGATGAAATGATTTGAAAAGTCTAGATGCTGGCATGTGTTTTGCTAATCTGATAACAAACAAACTCATCCCTAACCTTTCTTTCCTTCAGTAATTCAATACAGCTTATTGGGATACAGCGTGGTCCCTACTCATGGTTTTTTTCTCTGACTATATTAAGAATATAATAACAAAAGGTGAAGAATTTTTATTAAGACAATCCATCCATTTTCCTCGCCCACATAGATAGCAGATACAACCTGCAAATGATAAATCATGTCCAAAAAATGAACATCATTTCATTCCTTATGAATGGAAATAAGATGTGATTTATAATGCAGTGCCCTGTGTCTACAGGCAGATCTCAAATGATTAATCATCTCAAATAAGCTATTATTCAGGAGCAGTTTCCTAACCAACAAATTAAAAAATATATTTTTACTTAGCAGTGCCAAATAGCTTCAGCCTATTGCAAATATCCAATAAATGTCAAGCACAAATGTTTGGCTGCATTTTGTAGGTAAAATTAATTACTATTAAAAATAAATTAATAAATTAACTCATATCCCAGAGGAGTCAAAGTCTGGAGTCAGATCGGAATCTCCATTGCTTTGAACATGTCTGAAATGTTCCTCTTAATCAATAAATACAGTTACCGACACTCCACAATTTTTAATTATACTAATTGTGTATTTCACTGGGGTCCAAATTTTCTGCTTTCACTTACCTTGTTTCTAGTTCCTGATTTTTTTAAGGTTTAACTTGTTTCATCATTATTTTATTGTGAATTCCTTTTTAAGAAATACCTCAAGTACTTTGTTCTCTAAATACATTAAATGAATTAAACTTTTAAAAAAATTATTACTTCTGCCTCAGTGACCTTGAACATAAATCCTCTGAGTTTCAATTCTCTTCTTTATAAAACAAGAATATTAAACTATTTAATCCTTGCTGTTCTTTTCAAATGTAGGGTTTCAATAGCTAAATAAAAGTGAAAGACATTTCTACAAAAGTAATGTATTTTAAGGAGCTGGACAGTCCTCAGATTAATAAGAGAACAGGCTTAGGGGTCTACTGGAAGTTGGTTTTGATAAGTGTTAGCTTGATTTGTTTAATAGACATTTCACTGAATAGGAGTTTAGGCTCCAGCAATGTGTAAATGTTTAAAGTCACTAGAGAGGATGTAATTAATTATGAAATGAGTATAGGTAGAGGAAAGTTTTACTGAACAAGATCACGGCACTTTTGATGTCTGAGGCTCAGGATCCAGCAATGGGGAAGGACAGGGTGGTCTACAGCTGAAAGAAACAGTTGTCTCAAGAGCAGTCAATGAGCCCAAAGCTACAGACAAAACATCTAAAATGAGACTGACTTGACCATGTGCATTTCATTGGTGACCCTGACAAGAGCTGAGGCAATTGGTTATTGAGGACCAAAGACTGGCTAGAGCAGGTTCAAAGAAGAAGTGAAAAGAGGGAGATAATAAATATGGACTGCATGTAGACGGACATTTAAACTTTTTGGGTAAAGTGTGCAAAGCAATAGAAGGGTGGCTGTAGGGGAAGCCATTATCAGAATGTTGTTTTTTTATTTTTATTTTTTTAAGGTATAGGACAATGCTGTCTGTTTATATATTGAGAATGACACAATTGGCCAGAAAAATTGATGATGCAAGATAGGAAAAATCAAAGTTGCTAGAGCATAAGCTTACTAAATTCATACTTTCTTGGATAGGGATTGTGACATGAGTGTAGGTGTCTTGATCTTGGGGTGAGGGAACACCAAAGGTAGACCCCATGGGTGGGGAAGAATAAACCTCAGCAATGTTTTGTAGGGCTAGAGTTGGCATAGCTATGGTTTGCAAGCACCAGCACTGTTTCCGATGAAGGAGATGGTTAATGGACTCTCAGAGCAATGATAACTATCACTGAATTCTTATTTTCCTGATCAGTTTTCAAGTTGCCCTCTAAAATCTCATAGACTTCTTGGTAAAGTGTACTAAACATAAGGAACTTATATTGCCAGTGCTATGAACCACTTAAGAAGAAGGGTCTTTGCCAGAATTTGGGGAAAGAGATAAGGAAAGAATCCTAGAGCTGTGACTCAGAGCTGGGGTGACAAAAGGGCGGCCAAGAATAAGACTTTTGGAACTTAGAAGCACTTCTCAAGGGTTCCCAGAAACCCTTAGGAAGGGGGCTGGATTCTTACAATCACACAGGTTTGGAGCTTGGTTTATGGTTATTTGTTACATTAAAATGAAAGACTGGAAACCATGAAAGTACTTTGGTTGCCAATGTGGCAGTGACAGTGAGTGCTTTGTCTACACATCCACTTGGACCTCTGAGATGTCAGGGCAGGCACCCTAGGAATTGTATCATAAAAAGGATCCTCCACTCTGAGATGAGATAAAGGGGACAGATAAGACTGCAGGTCTTCTCCAGGGCACTAGATTAATACACTTAGCAAAGAACATTGGAAGGAGGTCCCGGGGCTGCAGAACTCCAGATATCCAAGAAATCATCTTAAAGTAAAAGAATAGCTAAGGTGATATATGTTTTGTTATAAAAGTAGCTGCTCGTGCCACCAAGGAGCACACTTTACAAAAGCATCTGGGAATTTGTCCTTAGTTTCTGACAGAAAGAGTATGAGAATTGAAGAATTATAATAATCTTATTATAAATCTGAACTGCTCTTCTAAGTTAGAGGATGGCTAGAGTTCAAATAGGTTGAAATTTTCTTAGACCTTAATTTTTATCCTGTAAAGCAACATTTTTAATTGACTACCTTTTATAAGTATTATAATATGTATTTTTCAGATGATAAAACTGGAGTTCCCCAGTGCTTGTTTTCCCAAGACTATAAACCTAGTAATTGCAAGAGTTTGATTAAAATCCAGAGTTGACTAGATCTCAAAACCATGATTCCCCACTGCATTATCCTTCTAAAAAAAAAAAAAAAAAAAAAAAGGAAAGAATTGTGCAGAATTATGTTTGAAAGGAAAAACAAAATGACCCAGGGGTAAATACCGGGAAGTGTGTATCTGACATCCTATTAGCTACAGATGCTGTGCTGTTCTGATCCTCTCTGATCATGTCTCTGACCTACTAGTACAGAAAGGGCAGGGACTTGGGGAAGCAGGAAGGTAAGATGAGAGAAGCAAATTTCTTTCCCCTGCAGCATAGCTTCCCACCTAAACCAGTACTGAGTGGGGGCAGGACGAAATGTAATGAGGAACCCAGTGTGAAGCTTGCCTCCCTTCCATCTAGCCTCAAACCATCTGAGAACTGAAGAGGCATAAGTAATTCTAGCCTTAGCGAAGACAAATATTTCCACTTGCTGTTTTAATGTTTAAGTTTTAATGGCTGGAGACAGTTCTACATTTTTTCCCTGAATCTTCATGGCCCCCTACGAAGTTGATTTTAGCTAAACTACATACTCAAAAAAATAGACAAGCTGTGAAGTATGTACATAAACCTGTGAATTAAGATGCCAATCACTTTTTATAGATAAAATCTACATTGTATATTCAAATTTTGCCTAAATGGAGATTTATTACAATAGACAATAGATGATTAAATGCCCAAGGGGAGGATATACATCTTTCCATCTTCATGTAGCTATTGTCCAGCATGGTGCCTATTTGTTGAAAGAATATTTATTGAATTTGTGAGTGTTATAAAAGAACCAACCACTTTTCTGCATTTTCCCTATAGCTAAGAGTCTAATTGTTTTGAGAATACCATTTTACCAATTTTCCCTTATGATTCTTCCCATCAACCACCAACCCCGTGTGATAATCAAATCACAGGACTTCATGTAGAGTCTTAATTGCCTTTCAGATGATAAGTATGAAAGAAATTAATTTCTATGTGGTTATATAGGAGCTTCTTTATCATACTGCTTGTTGTAACCAAATCAGCAAATCACTCTTAATATGAGCTAATAACTTGAAAATTATCTCATGTTGTAAAATCCAATGTTAAGGGGGTCATAAAATAAAAATTTCTTTGTTGTGTGGATCTGCCTGCAACCCAGATACTGAATCTGCTAGACATTTCCACATGGAGAAATTTTTTTTAAAGGACTTTTTAGAGGCCAACAAAATGATTATACTCTTATCCTACCCAGTGAGAAAGCTTTGTGTTTTTGAAGACCTTTCAGCCTTTCAGTCTGCCATTTCAGAAAGGTCTTGAAGACTCCTCTAGGAAATTCTCTATATTTAGATTTTTTTTAATCCTAAAAAAGAAATCTCAAATCTAATGACACATTTGGGTCAGAATATACTGTGCAAGAAAATGAAACTTCTTTACTATGATTTATGTTATAAACGTTCTTTTTTATATTAAAAAAATTCACATACAAATTTCTCTGCTAGTAGCTCAATAAGTATTAAAGAGAATAAGTTATATCTATAACTGCATATTATTTTAGAGTTACTTTACTGAATTTCTCTATTGATTGACATTACCCTTAAGAGCAACACATCACAAAGCATCCTTATCTATGAATGTGTGCATACATATCTTAAATTGTATCAGGGATTGCAAATTTCTTTTTACCCTAATAAGAGCCACACAATTTTACATTGTGTGTAAGACTGTAGTCTTACACTCTAATGAATCATAATCAAGGATAGCACCTTCTGAAATGGGACGAGATTTCTACAGCTGCCAGGTTATAGTCTCATCTCATTCTTCACCCAGCTCTTTTCTAGACTCAAGATGAGTAATTAACTAGGGAAGATAGTAATGTTACAGCGTTAGCCTTTAGATGGAAAGAAAAATAATTAAAACTCATGTTTCACCTTATTTTAGCCCAAGTGCAACTTCCATGAGCCAAACATGAAACAATTTAGCTTTGGAATCATACCTGGGATGATTTTTTTCTACGTACCTGGGAAAGTAGTCATTCGCGTATGCAAGTATTTTATCTGAAAGAAATTTAATATAGTCATATTAAAAGAATTTTGACATGCATTTCTTAAATCTAGACAGTGTTGTGAGGGGAGCTTAGCCTCAATGTCAGTTAGCATCTTTGATCAAGCCATGCAGCCACTGCTGTTTAGGGATAAAGATTTTTTGAGTCAACCACTCTGTCTTTTGGTCATTTGGGGGTGGAAACAGTACCACTTGGAACTCATGTAGAGCATGGGTGTGTGTCCATTTTATAGAGGGGAGCTATCAAGTCAAAAATGTGAGAACCTCTGTGCCTCTCTTCCCTTGTGGTGGAGCACAGCTGTACTTTCTGCCTTTCAGTTCCATGAGATACCTTTGCTTCCTTCTGACAAATTTTCCTTTGTCCATGTATGTAGTTTGAATAGACTTTTCTTCCTTATCTGAAAAAAACCACTTTTATGTATGCATGTTTCTATTTATGTGCATACACATGAATGCATGAATGCATATACATGCATGTGCCATATTTATGCACACATTATGCACTCATGAATGTGCAACAGTACACACATGCATGTGCATGAACACACACCATACATGTTCCTAGCACCCATGTGTGAATCTGTGCACATGTGGGTGTATATGTGCACACATGCACAGGGGCATGTGTGCATATAAATGTGCGCCCACATGAGTGCATGTGCATGTGTGCATATATGTGTACAACTATGCGTCCTAGCACACATGCACACCTATACACATGTGCATATGCATGTGTCTATGTATGTGTGCATGTATTGTCCACAAGTAAGTGTCTATGTATATATTTTTGAAGTAGCTGTCAAAATTTCTTGGCATGCGAACAACACAAACATGAAGCTGGGGAATTTGTTCTATTTGTGATTCATTTTGTCCACATGGTGCAAAGAGAGGTAAGGAGAGAGAAAGGATTTAGGGAGAAAAGAGCTGGAAAAGTTGGGGACTATCTCTAAAATGAATCAGAACAGCTTCTAGAAGAAGCAGTACACTGGTTTGCAGAAATAAAACTAACCAAAGATGTGATGTTGGACTGCAAAGTCATAAAAAGAATGACCTATAGCAAAAATAAACAGAAAGAACAATTGTTAAATGTTCACCAGCAGATTTCTTTGACATTGAACTGGATGTATGTATATTATGTGAATATTTATTACATTTCATTTGCCTATCATTTAACCTGGCATTAAATAATTAAATAAAACCAAAATCTTATAAAGTTGTTCATATAAAATAAAACCAGTATTAAGTTTCTGACAATAAGTCAAAGACAATAGTAACCAAATGCTCTAACATATGGAAACACTATCGCTATTAGCTTTAACATATGAAAACACTATATGTTGGTATGGAAATGAAAAAAATTCCTAATAGATGAATAAGTCACCAAACAGCTACCAAGATTATTTGAAGTTAGATTTAAGTGTGACAAGATTGAGTTACTTTCCTGAATGATCATTAACTGTTAGGGCAATATTATTGGAACATACTATTAAAAACATCACATGGGAGGGTGAAATGAATGTGTCTTGGGAGAATTCCATGAAGCACCAAGTGCCCTTCACAGAGTACATGCCTCAGGCAGCTAGGGGATCAAAATTGATGAATTTAACTATTTGGAACTTATCAGAAATAGCCTTCTACCCACAGGAAATGTTCTACTAATGACTCTCATATAAAAGATGCAACTTTTTTCAAATACTATCAGTCATTGAATATGAACGCACATCAAAGTTGAGAGAAGTGTGTTGCATAGTCGCCGTACATTAATTAATAGAAGCCCAGCAAGATCATAAAACTGAAGACATGTAAATAATATCAATATGCAAAAAATGAGAATTAGTTAATGTAGATTAGAAAATTATAAATTGGAAAATATAAAGTGTGTTTTGATATCTTTTTACTCAGATCATTAATCATTATTTAGATTTGCCTGGTATTAAAGTACATATGTAAGAATTTAGTTGAACTGTGCCATATGTATTATGGAATAAATGAGCATTAGGAATTAGAAGACACTGGATTTGGGTACCAGCTCTTCAGTTCATTTGTCATGAGAAAATATGTAAATTAATTTAAAACTCTGATTCTCAGTTTATCCATAAATAAGGACAGTGATACTTCTATCATGGAGTAGATATGGAAGATAACTAAAATAATGGAAGATAGCTGAAATAATTTCTGTAAAAACATTTACAAAAAGACAAATTTATCAATATTATACATTCTAAATCTGTTCACATAGCAAACCACCATTTAATTGTGCTGATTTAAATTGGGAAGCTACTTCATTAAATGGATTAGCTGAAAACAAGCTAATATAATTAAGATGCTATTTCAAAGGTTAAAAATTTATCAGGAAAACTTGATTTGGAATGAAATTACCAAATCTCATTTTTGACCAGGATTGTCACCAGTTGAGAACTGACTTGAAAGAAATGATAAAAACATAATTTGTAGGGGCCTCCCTGGTGGTGCAAGGGATTGAGTGCAGTGCTCTGAAGCTGTCCGCAGCCTCTGCAGCGTGAGTTAGATCCCTGGCCAGGGAGCTACCCACATGGCACAGCAGACCTCTCCTGACTTGCCCGCTGCTCCCTTCAGCAGTGTACTTCGGTCTATCTACCTGTTCTGTTGTCCACTCTGTCTCTGGTGAATCCTCTCACCTCCCCCATACCTCTGGCCTGTAACCCTGTTCTTGTAATCATAAATAAATCAAGAAAAAAAATAATTTGTAAACAAAAATAACGACCAGCATTATTTAAAAAGAGTAAGAAAAAGTAGGCCTGGGGCAAAAACATTTCCCCCTGAAGGGAGAAAATGTGTCATAAATACCAACCAAGCATACAAAATGTCATTAATTTAACAATAAATAATAAACATCTCTCCCAAACAGACTAATATTATAAAAAGAAAATATGATTTTCCACTTGGAGACATCTGGAGATGAATGTTAGTGCCTGTAAGGTATACCAATGTAATGTTTTTTTTTTTTTTTTAAGATTTATTTATTTATACTTACAAGCACTGGGTACAGTCAGAAGCGCGGGAGGGTGAGAGAATTCACCAGAGCCAGAGCAGGGAGCAGAGCAGGCAGAAGGACCGAAGTACACTGCTGAGGGGAGCAGCGGGCAGCAGGAGAGGTCTGCAAGCCATGTGGGACCCTCCTCCGGTGGCCGGGGAGCAGCGGGGGATCGAACCGGTGCTGCAGAGTTTGTGGGCAGCTTCGCAACCCAGCGCTCAACCGCTGCACCACCGGGGAGGCCCCCAATGTAATGTTTTAACAGGATAACTCTCAATTTACATCATAGAAAAACAAAACCAAAAAATTAGATCATGAAGTTTTGTGGGGGAAAAGGAAATAGAAGCAATTACACAAAGGATATAATAATGTGATACTTTGATGGAAGGATAGAGAATTAAAGCAATATAATGAAGAAGAAAATGTGTAATGGGGAAAGGACATTATTCATCAAGACCAACTGTATTCAAGAAGCAACCTGAAAGCAGGCTTAAAAAATTCAAGGACAGCACATTCCATGCTTCTTTTAGAATTTAAAGGTGTAATCTGGAGCTAAAACATCAGTGATTTTGTGGTTTTAGTTTTAAATCCTTCTTATAAGAAGTATGATAGCATAGGATCTCTTTAATTGGGGAGTAGTAATCAGAAGTTAGGAGGTTACAGCTAAAGACAAAGGGCAGCAAGCTGAGTCCTAAAAAGAACTTGCTCTGTCTTGGGGGTTTGATTGTTTACTTAAAAATAAATGGCATGATTAAAAGCCAGCTAATTGTTTCACTGATATTTAGTGAAATAAGAGGCAGTTTTTATTTTGCTCTAAAGCACCTGTGCTTGCAAGACTGTGTGAACAGAGCTGGGTGAGTTTTCATAATCCTCTCCTGTGATTCAGATACAAGCACTTGTGGTCAGGTTCACAGTTGAGAGGGTGTGAGCAAACATTTGCTTTTATGTTTTCCCCTTTGTATTGTTCGCTCTTCCATTAGCAATACATAGCAACAAGAAACAACCACACATGGCTTTATAAAGGTTTGCTGATACATTTTTAATGTAAAAATGTGGAAAATATGCTACAATTTTCTAGTGAATAGGAGATGTACTGATAGGACTTTGATGCATGGGCAAACTGCACTTGCTTATATCCTTCTCAAAACAGAGAAGTAAGGTTGGATAAAGGAGATTTTTTTGTTGTTTAAAAAGGAAGAAAAAGCTAATACATTTCTATCAGAAAAAAAAAATATAATCCTCCCAAAGAACAGATTTGTACAAAGAATCACATAAAATATGAAAAGATTTACTTTGGAGGGAAGGGAGAACACCATTTCAAAGCGATACCTAGCATTGCTGCAGAGCGTATCAAGGAGAGGCTTATCTTGTCTAACTGATTGAATGTGTAGATATTGTATTGTTGCTGGAATAGAGATTTTCTTTTGTAAGCTATTTAATACACAGCAAAACTTACTCACTGAGTGCTCCCCAAGGTGGAGTTATATCTTGCAAGTTTCTAAGCTACAAAGAATAGCACAATGATGCAAACATAAAAAGTCACATGAGGTCAGAGAGGGGGGCATTGTGTTCACAGACCAACTGGCAGAAATCCTAGTTAATATGATGGAATCTCCCCCAGTCTGTCTGTCAGGAGAAATGAGGCAGGAAAGCATGTTCAGGGGGCCTGCAATGGGGTCTAATTTACCAGGACTAATTCCAAATCAGCCTGAATCTCTGGCTGAGAAATGTAGTGTTATTTGTTAATATAAGATAGAAAGGAAGGCAGTCATTGCTTGTGGGTGGAAAAGATGTTAGAAGTGGGGGCAACTGGGAAAGAGTTGCAGAGAGAAAAAGGAAGGCGGAGGAGAACAAAGAGCATTCTTTGGGCACTATTGAACATTGCTCCAAAGCTAATCTTAGGTTTGTATGCTGATGAAGGGCAAGACCCAGGGTTGTGTGCTCCACCTAAGGGCACGTGCTACATAAAACAATCTGTGATAGGGCCTCCCCAGTGGCACAGGCAGTTGAGCGCAGTGCTGTGAAGCAGTCCACAGCCTCTGCAGTGCCAGTTCGATCTCCACTGGCCGCAGAGATACCCACATGGCGTGGCAGACCTCTCCTGTCTTGCCACTGCTCCCCTCAGCAGTGTGTTTCAGTCAGTCTGCCTATTCTGTTCCCCACTCTGTCTCTGGTGAATCCTCTCACCCTCATGCACATCAGGCCTGTACCCCAGTTCTTGTATAAATAAACAAATCTTTAAAAAAATAATTTGTGATAAACTAATATTTAAAACCTAGTCCCTGAATGTCCACAGAAAACTCTTAAGAGAACTCAGGTATGTGACTTAAATGAACACAACAGTTGTTACTAAAACTCAGGTTGTTGCACAGATGTGTTAAATGATACAAAAATGGAAGCAGAGGGGCCTCCCTGGTGGTGCAAGGGGTTAAGCACAGCACTGTGAAGCTATCCGCAGCCTCTGTAGCGTGAATTTGATCCCCGGCTGACCAGGGAGCTACCTACATGGCTCAGCAGACCTCTCCTGTCTCGCCCGCTCCTCTCCTCAGCAGTGTATTTCAGTCAGTCAGCCTGTTCTGCTCCCCACTCTGTCTCTGGTGAATCCTCTCACCCTTCCCCGTTCCCCCTCCCCACCTCTGGCCTGTATCCCACTTCTTGTATGCATAAATAAATAAATCTTTAAAAAAAGAAAGTAAGCTAATACAGGTAGCTCCCCAAGTGGGGTTCCCACAACACAGCAGAGACCAGGTCAGCGGTAGCTGCTGTCTCACACCATCTTAGCTTCATGGTATTGAAAAGAATAGAAAAATGGAGGCAGGAAGTGGGGTAGGAGCCAGAGAGACAGACAGAGTGCAGGGATGATGGGAGCAGTGGAGAAGCCAGAGGAACTTATGTTCACTGAAGTAACAGATATTAAAATGAAATGAGAGAACACGTTACCATGGTAAATCCTTAAAGAATATTGGTGGAAAGAAGGAAGGAAGCATCTGGCCACCGGGTATGGTGCTGTAGCCTGTACCCTATCCAGGACCAACCTACAAGGTGCCTGCACTGTGCTAAGGTGTCTAGATAATTTCTACCAGAATCCTGTGGTCTACGTGGTATTTTCTATATTTTGTAGCTAACAATACTGAAAACCAGAGAAGTTCTGTTACTTGTACAAGATCTCCCAGGAGGACAGCGGATATGAGAGTTTAACTGACACCAGGATGACTTGGTGTCATGTCATTAAAGGACAATCAAGGGAACTGAAATTGTTTCCTGAACACATCAATAAAAATAATTTACTATTTCCTGTTTTTTTAAAAATGTTATTTCCCATCATACTGATTTTAGTAGGCATGTATACTTTATTATTCTAAATTGCGAATTATGGCCTACATTACCTGAAGTGGTAAGGGTTTATACAATTAAAAGGGGAAAAAAAGAAATCAGTCTTGAAAAAAATGAATTCTGCTACTCTGTAGTTCTGCTGCTGTCATTCAGCAGTGGTAGGCTAATCATTATAAGCAAACAACTCCCAAAGTCATTTATGTGATGGCAAAATGGTATGAATGTGGATAAATAATGCATTAGATTTATAAGATCCACTTGTTCCCTATACAAATCTCCAGAGGATTAGCCCCAGAATCAAAAGGAGAGTGAAGCACTGGTTTAGGTGATTATTGTTATCCTGGTCTCCACCTTAAATTATTTCGACTCTCTAGCTCTCAATTCATCTTTTTCTATTTTGGGTGACAACATTATCTGCATTCATACAACATTTTAACGAAGAAATTAAAATGTGGTCATTTTTAGATATTTTATAAAGAAAAGTTCTACGCAACTCAATTTTTTCTCTAAAGGAAAGAAATTTTGCAAGATGTCTGATAATGTATCTGATTTATAAAGTTTGTATAGAAGATATTTGATTTTAAAAATATTACTGAAATGATTGCTAATAAGAAAGCATTGCCTGCCAGGAATTTCATCTTAAGTATAGAAATGACAGAACAGAGATCCTAAAAGAGTGTGGTATTTCTGGCAGAAGACATTTGGTCAATGATTTAACAACAGCTTGTAGGGGTAGAAACTATTTTGGACAGAAAATTAGAAAATTGGCACTTATCCTTGATTTTGCTATTGAATAGATGTGACCTCAACTATGCTGCTTCATATGCTAGTGCCTCTCATCCTTCTTTTCAAATCTGCATGACAATAATGCATTATTCATATTTTACATAAACATTTCAAACATCGGGAGTGTTTAAAAAAACACTCCGAAGAGGACCAAGGACTCTCCCCGGACTCTCATCATTGTTCTTGATTAGCTTCATACAATTTTTCTTGGTCACAAGTATCTTTTAACTTCATCTGTTAAAAGAAAGTGTTTTCTATCCATTTCCTTCCACTTAAATGTTCTTCCCCAAATGGTTTTTTTTTTTATATATAGAGGCATGTTTTTATTTATTTATTTGTTTGTTTGTTTTTGTTTATACATGCACTGGGTACAGTCAGAAGTGCGGGAGAGTGAGAGAATTCACCAGAGCCAGAGCAGGGAGCAGAGCAGGCAGAAGGACCGAAGTACACTGCTGAGGGGAGCAGCGGGCGGCAGGAGAGGTCTGCGCACCATGCGGGACCCTCCTCTGGTGGCCGGGGAGCAGCCGGGGATCGAACCGGCGCCGCAGAGGCCGCGGGCAGCTTCGCAACCCAGCGCTCAACCGCTGCGCCACCGGGGAGGCCCCCCAAATGGTTTTTGATTCTAAAATATTATGACCTTTTCCAGAAATACTTGATCTTTCATTCTTTCATCCATCCATGCATCCACCCATTCATGCATCCATCCATGCATGCATGCATGCATCCATCCATTCATCCATCCATCCATGTAGTCAGTATGCGTACAGTGGATAAAGATTGTGCCATTGGGGCATTATCTCATTTCAATTATATACATGAGGGTGAACACCGCATGGTTAAAACTTTGGAAAAGAAATGCTGACAATGGTAGGGTCTCTTGACCTCCCCTTCTAGATCCTGGAAATGTTTGGTACAAAACATGGTTCAGTCTATTGCTTTTCCTGTTCTCTTCTGATTCCAGCTGAACCTATTGCACATTAGAGACCCTGACTGATAGTGCTAAGTTTGAGTAAGGTTGAGTAGAATCTTTAAAGAGCTTGCCTTTACTTTTCTCATCACACATCAGAGACAACATTTATGACTGCTCCAGAATAGACTAGTTTCATGGGTTGTTGAATTGGAGAAGGAGAAATATATCTTACCAGGATAATCCCTTCCTACTCTATACCTAAAGGCTGAGGTAAAGCTAAGAATTGGAATGTTTACATTTTTTATTATAATTGCATTCTTAAATTAAGAGAATTTTTAGAGTAAAAAAAAGTATCAAGCAGATTTCTACAGATTGAAAATACCTTATTGAATAACATTTCATTACACTGTCTTCTATAGTAAAGTGAGTCAGTCTGCATTCAAGAAGGTACCATATGGTTACTTCTCAAAATGTCTTACCTTTTTGGTGCTTTTCCTTGTAGTAAGAAATGTTGAAGATCAGTGATATAGTCAGTGCTAAACCCAAGAAGGCTAATATTGCCCAGATATAAGGCTGACATTCAATGTTTCCTGGAAATAAAAGCAAACATGCCCATTAGATAGTAGCTGCTTATTCATTTTTTTTTAAATTGGCTATTCCCACAACTAAAACCATTGTATTCTTTTTTTTAAAAAAAAGATTTATTTATTTATACAAGTACTAGGTACAGTCAGAAGCGCAGATGGGTGAGAGAATTCACCAGAACCAGAGCGGGGAACAGAACAGGCAGACTGACGAAATACACTGCTGAGGGGAGCAGCGGACGCAGCAGGAGAGGTCTGTAGTGCCATGTGGGACCCTCGCTGGCAGCTGGGGATCAAACCGGCGCTGCAGAGGCTACGGGCAGCTTCGCACGCAGCCCAGCGCTCAACCGCTGTGCCACCAGGGGAGGCCCTTATTTTTAATGAAGTACAAATTCTCTGCCAAGAAATTAACAGTGATAGCCAGAGGTTCTTACAGATTTCAAAGTGGGTATTGGTGATAATTTGACAACTGGTGACTGATTAAAAACTTTGGTTCAAAAATCAAAAACATATTACCCAGAATTGTAATTTTAAGTTCTCTACTATAGTTCTCATACATGCTTTCACTGTTTATGCAAAACCACTCATTCCTTCCTATTAACTCCAGTAGTAGAGGATACTGTGTGTTGGAATACAATGATAATTCTGGAATCAAAACAATGTAAGTTTGTCAAGATTGGCCATAAGGATTTGTTCCCATGTGATTTAGAACCTTGTGAACTGATAAGAGAGAATTGATTAAGCTTCCCTTTCCCCCTGTGAAACCTCTCTTTTTCATTTTCAGTCTAAAGGGGATTTGTGGAATGCTGTTAGTTGCCCTTGATTAATTATGGCAATCTTTATGCATATAATTTATCGTATAAATTATAGGCATATCTTTAAGAACTTAGAAATTTGAAAATAAAGGCAACAAATATTCAATCATGGTGATGGGGAATGTGGTATAGAAAGGATTTGGCAGATTTGAAAAACTACAAAAACTGCAAGAGAAAAAAAAGAGTTCTCCAAAAAGATATGAAAGGAATGAAGTTTGAAAAAGGCAAACTTATAAAGAAAAATAAAAAACCCTTTTACAAATCGGTTCATTGAGAGAATGAACCCTGATGGACTAAGAAAGCAAAATATCTGAGAATTAAATGTCTACTTACTGAAAAAAGTATAAATTATTTAAAAATTTATAAATAGGGCCTTCCTGGTGGTGCAAGGGGTTAAGCAGCGCACTATGAAGCAATAGCAGCCTCTGCAGCATGAGTTTGATCCCCAGCCGGCCAGGGTGCAACCCACATGGCAAAGCAGACCTCTCCTGACTTGCCCGCTGTTCCGCTCAGCAGTGAGTTTCAGTCAGTCTGCCTGTTCTGTTACCCACTCTGTCTCTGGTGAAACCTCTCACCCCCCTCATCTCTGGCCTGTACCCCAGCTCTTGTATGTATAAATAAATAAATCTTTAAAAAAATAAAAACTTATAAATACATATGATGTATTAAAATTAGTTAACATATATATAATTATTATCAGTTAATATAAAATGTTCCATGTCAATAATATACATTTATATGTTACATATATTTATCTTGCTACATATATTATACACATATAATTAAATCGATTATCTTAGTAATCATATACCTATGTGAATGCTGACCCCAGAAAAGCAATCCCCCAAAATTTATGTTTTTATATTATATATTGATGTATTCAGTCAGTATCAATTAGATACCTCTTCTGCGTCAGGAACTACACCCTATATTGGAGAATCAAAGGTAAAGAAAACTATATCTTTGTCTTCAAACAACATGGAGACATGGATATGTAAGCACATCATTTATAAAGTATTGTGAAAATAGCAACCCCAGAGATTAAATTCTCTCAAGACCCAACTCTTTCTCTATGTGACTGACTCAAATCACAGACCATTTTAGGTCCTTTCAAAGAAATCAAAATAATCACAATAAACAGAACAGGCAACTCTTTAACAGGAGGGAAATTATTTTTATTTCCCTAATCTGTCTTCACACAAAAATGTTCTTGTTGCTGCTCTATTTTACTTATTTATTTCAAGTCAGACTTTTAAACTGTTAATGTTTCCTTTGAATACTTGTTGACATTACAGTAATTTCCCTGAGTGGTTCTATGTATTTAAGTTGATTTTTTAAAAAAAGATTTTATTTATGTAAGAAGTGGGATATAGGCCACAGGCAGGAGGAGGGGGTGAGAGGATTCAGTAGAGATATAGTGGGGAGCAGAACAGGCAGATTGACTGAAATACACTGCTGAGGGGAGCAGTGGGCAAGACAGGAGAGGTCTGCTGCGCCGGGTGGGTATCTCCCTGGCCAGCCGGGAATTGAACCGGCGCTGCAGAGGCTGCAGACAGCTTCACAGCACCGCACTCAACCCACTGTGCCACCTGGGAGGCCCTAAGTTGATTTTTTTAATTAAATTATTTTTAATTGAGGTAATATTTCAGTACCCCATAGGTACCACCACCATAGTGCACCCACCACCAACTCACCCATAGTCCCCCACCATAGTCCATTGTGCTTCCTTCCCTTTTTGTTCTTACCATCCCTTTCTTCTCCCACTCTGGATGCTTCAGTTCTATGGTCAGCTTTCAAGCGTCAGTTTTTAAGCTTGTCTTTATCTGACCCTTAGATTGGTTTGTCTGTATTCCACATACTAGTGACATTATATGGTATTTATCTTTATCCTGACACTTGTTTTACCATTATCCCTCCCAGCTCAATCTATGTTAAGTTGCCATTCTTTTCCTTCCTCCTTTTCTCTCTCTCTCCCCCTTTCTTTCTCTGCATCATTTATTATTAAATAAGCATAGTTGGACATATAGATAATGAAAAATATGAAATGTGTATATGTATTTATGATATAGATGTATGTATACGTATATGCTTATAATTTCCATTTAGTTTGATCTGGTTTGCAACTATTTTAACATCAGAAAATTTGTTTTGATGTCTGCTACCTTCTCTTTTATTTAGCTCCATGCTTTTTCTAGATGTTCTAGAATTCTCTGCTTTACAGAGAATAGACTTTCTGCCTTCTACTCTACAGTGTCAGATATATAGTACATGATTTTTTTTTCAAGAATTATTTTATAAATGAAAAGGGGTACTACAAATGGAAGTGAAGTGTGTGGTTTTATTTTCTTTAAGGTAATGTTATGTTGTAGCATTGTCTGGAATGCTCCTCTGATTTTAGGAGTATGTAATTTTCATCTAAATCTTCTGTTTCTAAGATTTCTTCCTTTTGTAAAATGCCTGAGTTTTTAAATGGAAAGATGTTCTGTTGGAAACTTTTACTGTATGAGGTTCTTGATATCTTCCATAATTTTTTATTGCCAACAATGAATGTTCTCATTTTGAAAAAGAACATGTGCACACATGAAAAGAGTGACTAACAAGTAGCTAAATGGTGGAAATTTTCAACTTGAAATTTTCAGATTTCTATAAATGTTCATACACACACACTCAAACACACACTTTGTACCTCCATTACCCAGTTATTTTCCATATACAGTATGACTATCTTCAGCCCCACGTGAGTATCTATTCACATACTCTGTGAGTATCTGTTCAGTACAGATGGCGCCTCTTATAATATTGGATGCCCAACATACTTAAAACTTCCTGACAAACAGGAGAAAACTTTAGTATCATTGTTTATTATTTGTAATTGCTTTCTTTACATTGCTTTTATCAATTTAAAAAGACCCACACAGATTGGATTGAGCTCTTTACTCTGCTTTAAAAAAAAACAAACAAAAAAAAAAAAAAACACCCAAACGAAGCAAGAAGTGAGCTAATAACTGTAAGGAAAACATGATTTAAATTTCTAACTAGCTTTCAACTGGCAGTGGTTAATAGTAGTGGGTTTAATTATAAGACCTCTGACTCTCCTCAAGCCAAAGTATTTGGCAGACTCTGTATTTGGAATTTAAAATTATATGTGCTTTGGAAGGAAACCCAGCTAAGTGAATGTAAAGGCTTTATGCTGGCAGGTTTGATTCACAGAAGCCTTTAATTAAACAATTAACAATAGAAAAGTGATAATGTCTTAATTGTTGCCCCTTCAGGACTTCTGTAACTGAGACAAGTGCATGTTATGTTACATATATAACAGTATGTATGGTTCTTACAGTACAGGATTTCTTGTCATCTTTATAACTAACCCTTATTTGGTATTGGGAAACTTGAGATATTTTGTTAGGATCAAATGCTACCAAAATCCCTGCTTTAGATTGACCTCTTTATCTGTGTCTAGTTACTCTATAGTTTCCTATTGAAGAAGTACCTTTGGAAAGACCCTCTCTGGTCACTTCGCCTGGATGTGTGGAAACTCATCCAATACAGTACTTTCAGTATGTTTCTTTAATGTTTGAAGTTTTTGAAAGACCTGTGCATTTTTTCTCACTTCTTCTTAATTTAGGAATACTAAGAAAATCAAATGAAATAAATGTCTGGAAAAGTATCTACTAATATTTATTATTAATAAGTAATATGTAGACATTTATTTCTCAGAGCCATGACCTCTAAGTGATAATCTTTCCTGGCATGACTTCATAAAATCCTTTCCAGAAATTACCTACATTAAATGACGCATAGTCTTCAACCTACCTCTGATTTTAAAAGCATATGAATTAAAAGATAATTCATAAATTAATTTTGCATAGTCTCTAAGAGAAAGACTTTCATTGTTTTCAAAAAGATGATGGAGGCTCAAGGGGAGACAAAACTGAGAAAGATAACGAAAATCCTTTTATTAAAAAAAAAACGTGTTACGAAATTGTGAATAATTATTTAAACACAATTAAAGGTAGCCCAAAGGAGCTTTCATCATATGATTCAGCTAATAATGATTTACAAGAATTCATAAACATAATAAGAATTATCTATGGGCACATTTATTGATGCCCACATTTGGAGGAGAAAAGGAAAGATTTGGATCCTTTTTGCACATTGTTTTACTTAACTAGGAAAAATTTCACTTTTTCA